GTACAGTACTGTTAAATTCTTTTTTATATGTCATTATTTTGCACTAATATTTATATAAATAAACGAAAGTATATAACTTGCGCAAGAAAGTATATAAATTGCGTAGCTCTTGAACTTTGTTGTTATGAAGTTTTAATTCTGAGTACAAAAAGAACCAAAACAATTTAATTTTTAATTTATCCGTATTAATTGTTCCATTTTCAGAATTCCATAAAATATTAATTGTTCTATTTCTGTGTGCAGAAATATACATACCCGTTCAAAATTATTATTCAGTCATGCCACGAAGAAGAAAATCGTCTTCGATTTATGATTGAAAAAGAATCTTGTTAATTTTATTTTTAGTAATGACTCTCTTAAATAATTTTGTGACTTCTGTTTCCTTCCTTTGGCATTTGTTATACTATCGTGTACGTTATAGTAATCTTACTTGAAAATTGACAGTAGCTATAATCGGCAATTCAGTCTACAAGCATTGTTACTTTAAATTCTGTATAACTGTAGGAATAAATAGTTTTAAATATTACTACAAACGAAATAAATGTTAACCATAACCCATAAGTTACGAAACCGTAATTTAAGATGTGACCTTGCTTCTTTATCAGATCATAAATTGATAAAACGACATTAAATAACTGCGGACCACCTACTGGTTCGTCTACCCTGAAATGAAACATGTTTTCGCTCCGAAGTAATTTAAATCTATGTATGTCTTGTTCCATATAAATATTGTATTTATATTCATCTGAAATCCTATAAATCGAAATTGAAATTATTATAAATTATATAGGACGAGACTGTATCGTATCGACGTGGGTGATTACGAAAACTGCGTTCGTTATCGTTACAGACAACAACCGTGATATCAGTTACTCAAAGAATGCGTGAAAATAGCTCCCTCGATTTTGTAACGACCAAAATGCAGAACAGAACGCACGCCGACGCGAGTTTCGTCTTTCGAGCAGATTTTTAAACAGATTAAACGTATTGGCTTGTATTCCGAGATCGGTCAATGCACCCTTCACGGATATTTTTATTTCCACTCTCAGTTATAGAAGTATACACGATCGGTGCGCAGTTTTGTTAGATATCGTAATCTCGTAGTCACGAACTATTTTCTCCCGATATGAAACAATAAGGAAAAGATATATCCCGGCATTCCGGCCATTTCTCAGTGTCAAAATCGAACGAAATGAAATCGGGAACAAGAAAACTGAAGAAAACATAATAGTAGGTAGATTAATGCGGCATCGTAGCACTCGAGCATTTGGCTGCAAATAATTACGTAACTCTCGGAAGAAGACTATTAAGACAGATTCTCGTGATTCGCTCTTTCGCATCATAATTTCATTTCCTTGACGTTTCGTGTCATTTTAGCAGCATATCCAAACAACCGTATACATCCCGACGATGAATGATATACTTTCTAGAAAAAAATATTCAGTACGTTTTCGAGAAAATTGAGACGGTTGTATCTAGCATAATAATCTTAGGTGAAAAGATTCCTGATTGGAACTACGACGAGGCAATCGTAAAGAGATCCTATAAAAAGCATATATTAGACGTAAGCGATAGGTAGCAACGGATCTTCGAAGAAATCGAGATTATATTGTCAGAAGGAAACAACCACGGGACAAGTAACACTCGACAAAGAGCCGCTGTCACTGACATGGCTAGGTGGCTGCTGCCACGCCGTCATCCAGTTCCCGTCCCATTTCCAATACTCCCTCTCCTCTCGCGTTCACCTCTTTCTTCACACAATTCCCTGTATCTGACACCATAGTGGATTTGTTCGCACTCGGTGGCGCGCGCGCACGCCAAACTCGCGACAATGAGAGAAAGAGCGAGAGGCAGGCATGAAGAGAACAAAGAGAGCTGCAGGAAAAGGGAGATGGAAGCAAGTTCACGCACAATGGCACAATATATGCGTGTGATGGGTCGCGTGCCGTTCGCACCTATCCACACGAGTCGGATTCTCTTTCTCGAGGAAAGGACGTTCTGCGTTCTGCGCAACGCACTCTCCCCACCTTGCGTGCATTTTTCCTTTTAACCTGTCGATCGAGAGAATCCCTAGCCATCTTGTAACAACATCCCCCTTTTGACACTCTGAACTATATGAATGCATCAGCGAACGCGACTGGTCGCGATTTTCGGTCCCCAAGAGCGCTGCAACTGTATGTACAATCTTCTTCGAAAAAAACTATGACTTAACTATAAACGTAATCGAGTAATAACAATGATTTATCGCGATGAAAAAGAGAAAGTGCACGTAGATAGGAAGAACAGATGGATTTAAGATATGAATTTTAGCTTTAACCAAAGAACAAGTGGCGGAAGCATGCAAGGAGAATAGAATTACTTTAGTCCGACTCAAATATCGCGAAGCGTAAGCCATTTTGGTAACATGAAATCAGTTAACTGTGCTTATTCATGCCTTTAATCTTTTTGCTAACCGGACAATGAAATATTGTTCAGAGCCGAAAATTTTTGTCTACATTACTAAAAGTCGCCTAGTACAGAACATAAAAACACCACATTTTTGAATATTAATCCAATTTTGATTTAAAAAATCTATGTAGATCATAATCGATGTAAGTATGAATGAAAATAAAAGTATTTTATAGGATTTTTATGATTACAATAATAATTTGATTGCATTACATAATAGCAAACATTTTATCGACCATTTTCTATAATGTACATTTTTTTGTGTACAACCTAATGTAAATAAATTATAAAACACTTATTTTTACCACAATAGTGTCATAAGTTTTGCAAACGTTTGTCAAACGTTTTAGCTTTCATGAATGTGGAACAAGAATCTAATATTTTGTATATTAATGTAAATGAAATAAAGTAAAGTAAAATACATGTATATAAAATACTCGATATACAACAGCTTTATCCTAAAATACGAAATAATCCTACGAAATACGGTTTTAACAATTTCTGAGAACACGAAACAAACGAAAATAAAACATTTCTCCGGTACGTCTCAACTTACGGCAACCATTGTCACCGGACAGAATTCTGACCGTTCGAGAAAAGAATTATTTAAAAATTTAACTTGCCGTACACTATTTGTTCAAATCTAGTTTAAACGCTTGAAAATAAAATTTGAGAGATCCGATAAATAGTTTATCCGGCAACTTTGAAATTTGTCAATTATCTTTCATTATTCTGGCATTTATTTTCTGAAAATACAAATTATAAAGTGAACGACCTCCGTTTACAACATTATTTTAGTCAACAAACAACGATGGCATGGGCCGCACTATGCACGCATTTGATATGAAAAAAATCACCCTCATTTCGTTGATCGACACTACCATAGAAAATGTCTGTGAAAATTGCAGATACATATCCAAAAAATGAAAACGACAATATTAATGGTAATTGACGGAGAATTCCCTAAATTTAAACTATAAGAAAGCATAAAACCTTTTTCAGAACACTGGATCAATCATTTGTGTAATAGAATTGTGAACGATCAAACATTCAAAGTTTCCTATTATGATAGTCTGATGAAATTAAATGGATTTTCCAAAAAAAAAAATATATACGACTTTTGATAATTAAACAAATGACTAAAACTCACATGATCGCGTGTTTAGTTTTTCTGTAATTTCATAAGAAAACAGACTAGTTTTCTGGCGTTTCACGGTGTCCTAGTCTCTTAACAAAGAAATATCGTAGAACGAATAATGACGACTTCGCCCTAAAGAGCGTCTCATGCAACCACCGTACGAGACCGGCCATCATCAAATGGCGGCATCGAAATAAGCCAAGTCCTCGGTTGCTGTTGGACCGGCGGCGTGACTGTAACCACGGCGTTCGTGGCCTCGCGACATCTCGGCCAATCGGTGATGAGCTGCGAGTCACGTGAACGTTCGAGCCAATCGGACGGCCGGACTAGCGTCACGGCGACCATACGGAGCCAGTCGGACATTTTCTGACAAGCGTAGAAAAACTTCTCGTCAACAGCAGCCGCCATTTTACGTTAGCCGATACTCGTGCGGTGCGGAACTCTCGCGATCGCTTCTCCCGAGCGAATTTCTGTGGCGCGCGGTGGCCGCCCCGGAGCCGACTCATCTCGTCGTCCTCGCCTCCTGGCGTCCGTGATTGCCTCGAACGTGCGGGGAAAGCGAGCCGCGTCCGCGGTGATCGTTCGCGCGCCCCGTGTCGCAGTGTGCCAAGGCGAGAGAAGAGGAGAGGAAGATGGTGCCAGCGGGCCTCGAGACCGATATCGTTGCTGCGAGATAGCGCCGTGCGCGCAGCCAGTCCGCCACACTCGAGTGTTTGACGAGTCGTGCGCGACCGACTGCTAAGAAGACCAATACAAAACGCGTTCGGACCTCGTTTGGCTGGCGTGTGCATTTAATTATTACGCTGTGGTGATCTTCGCGATTACCGAATATACTACTCGATAGTCCTGGTTATTTCCTCTCGGCCTGTCCAGTTGTGCCTCGCCGCGAGTGGCCCGTGCGCCTGTCGAGGGACAAAATTTACCGTGTGTGCGTGTGTGGGCTTTAGCGCGGGGTTCGACGTACCCCCCGACGATGCCCAATGGTTGATCGTGTAACGAAGCGTGCTCGGGGACGCTCTACGCGCCGCGGTTCTCATTGTTATTGTCATGCCTGCGAATACGCTGAGAGATTAGTGAATATTCGCGGCTTCATAAAGGAAGCAGCACCAGCAACAGTAACCAGCATCATCGGCAGCGGTCTTCTAGTGGCGTAGTGCAGCGTTTCGCTCGCTCGCTCGCTCGTGTGTCTGTGTGTGTTACCCGTGTATACGTGCCTGCCTGCTGCCTGCCTGCGTGCGTGCGTGCGGTCGACTCGACGACTCGCTAACGCCGCCGCCGCCGCCGCTGCTTACTTGCTACCGAGAGTAAACAGTCTGAAACAAGAAATAATTAACCCTCAAAAGGAACCATGGCCGACCACCTGGTGGACGGCCCACCGCCGAGCAAGCGGCCGAAGCTTGCAGATCCTTTTCAAGGAACCTCCGACTCCGCGGGTAAGTTTTCCGCCTTCGAATTTAATCAGAAGAAATCATGATACGTATCCAACAACATTTAGCGATATACAAGACCGAGTCGCATCATTGCGCGACTAACCTTTCAGGGGATAGATCACAGTCGCACGATCCGACCACAGAAGAGCGTTCTAATTACTTTGTCGAATGATTTGATCAACGCCGATGTTACACCTCGGAGGCGTACTGTCAGCTTGTTGACGGTTCAGACCTTTGAGCAAAATTACCTCGTGACCGATGCTTCGGTTTTTCTTCAGGACAACAGTAGCCCTCTATTTTCTATCAGATGACACAAACCGATTGTTGGTTCCTTTGAACCTTTTGTCTTCCTTTTTGTTTCCACAATTATTTTATGTTCCTTTTGGATTATCAGAAAAATGTTGTGGTTGTAGTTGATCGTCTCATTTTCTGTTACTAGTGTCACTTGTGTTGACAGGATTCTCTGCATAATTAAAGTGCTTCGAGATTGTCGAAAGTTCATTTTATTTGCTTCGATCGTCCTGAACGTCGATCGAAATTGTTTCGATGCGTTAGTTAACAAACTAACCTAAACTGTTGACGAAATACCGTCACTGAAGGTACGCTATATTGCAAATTGTATCGTGTTTTCGTTCATACAAAGGGTATGTGGTGATATTAAAATTGTAGGAGAACCATATAAAACATGTTTTCTTACAGAAATGCGAAGTTACAATTCAGAATCGTCGAAAATCTGTTACAGTACAGTAATGTTACTGTGACAATCACTTAGGGAATCATAGATGTACTTTACACTTTTCCATTGTTCTACAATAATTTATTGTCGGTCAACTATTATCTAATACTTGACAATAAACAATTTGCATATAGTATATATAAATTTTGCTCAGAGGTTATAGAAACAGTCTGTATTTGAAGAGCGATGATTTGTATTTAAACAGTTTATAACTTCTGTCTTGTTGCACGTCCTTTCAATTATCTCATTTTTAATGTTAAGAGATAATAGTACTTTGTAAGGTTTTTTTTAGTTCTTTTTAGATTTAGTTCTTATTTTACTTTCGTAGTGCATGGCAGATGCATGGAAATTTTCAATAATAATTATAAAGACATATTGCTGGCATGATCGATGCGCTAACCGTTCTCCTTATTCTTACATTCTTTAAGCGCTACTCTTACCACCTTAACAGTTTCTGAACTCAATAATATTTCATGTAATCCTATATCAAATCAAAAACAACCATGTCACTCGAATATTTGATGTATAAAGTACAAGATCTAGTCAGGTTACACAAAATAAGTAGCAGACATAGCCTCTGTTACTCACAATGATACATGTTATTGACACATTCGAGACCACTGTTTTCAGCAATTAACATTTTTTTTAGTTAACAGTAAAAATAATAACAGTTCAATTCATGTTTGAGCAAGGTTAGCATTCTATTATTTTTCTTGTATAATGCTTTAGAGACATTCTACAACTTTTTTTATTCTATCTTTGGTTTCAACTGTGTTACAGTAATAGGTATTGGTGTTACAAACAATGCAAAAAATTATTCAGGCTATTTCTGCTACTTGAAAGATACGATTCAGAGTATAGGCAATTTTCCACAATCTGAAATAAAAACTATAATATATGTAGTGGGTATGGCGCCTGTAATGATGAACCATGCTTATACAAACTACGGGGGAGGTGGCAGTGGTAACATGCAACAAATGCAGGGCCCGCCACAACAGCTACATCTGCAACAGCATCAGCTGCAGCCACATTGGAACAACCATACCGTCCAGAAAAGAAGTAAATATTAATAAATAAACCCAGCAGAAAGTTCAAAAATATTCAATCCAGCACTACAAAATTTGTTTGTTTGTCCATTCATCTCATTTATTAATATCATAAAGTTTGTAGAGTCATCCAATTACTTCCAATTTGTATCATGGTTTACAGATCAGAAAGTTCATGACTTTTTGCGTTGTTGAAAAAACTGTGTATAGTTTTGGCATATTGTCACTATGGTTAAAAAAGGTTTTCTAATGCATACAGAAATGATCAAGTACATTTATTAGCAAATAAAAAAATATACAGTCAAACCTTGGTAACTCAAATCTCAAGGGAAGAGCTTAAGTTCTAAAGGTTCTAAAGTTGTTCCCTCTATTTTCACTTTGAATCATTTTTATGGCTGAGACACATATATTATTATATAGACTATAAACAATTGACAATCATAGTTTCCAAGTAACAATGATAAAATTTTGACATATAGAAGCAAACTTAGATTTACAGAAAAATTCAAGTTACAGAGATAAAAGAACATGTTAATCATGTAACACACACATTAACTCAAGTTAAAGTAAGTTTACTTTTGAATTTGTAAAAGTTTTTACAGTAGAGCAGAAGACAATCAAGAAAATTATTGTTTTATAGAGGTTTTCAAGTTACAATGATTAAAGTTACAGAGGTCTGACTGTACGTAGTAAACAAAATGCTTTAGTACTGAGATGCATTGATTAGTTTCGTAAGATACTGGAGAAAAATTGGATCAGGATTAGTATTATAGAAGAAACGTGTATCAAGGGATATTTTGGTTTAAGACACAATGTAAAAGTTTAAATATATATGCTGTTAGTTTGAAATGCATTTAGGGGTAACAAATGTAATATGGACATGCGACACACATGCACAGAGCTCTAAAATTAGGATGGAACTACATTAAGTAACAAGTAAATTTTAAAGTAAGAAAGAACAAAATGATCATTGAGCTAAATTTGAACTAGGTTTTTAGGTAGGTAGATCAGATTTTTCTACTTATATACCTTCATACTTTACAGGTAATTGGCTTTGAAAATTGAATACAATCAAAGAATGTTTTACATTATCTTGTATGAGTTTCAGAAACTTTTTTTTTTATTTAATGTTATAGCATTGAAAAACATTCCATGTGCAAACAGTTGTAAATACTCTTTAGAGTGACTATAATTTCTTCGCATGACTGTATACTCTAAAGTTTGCCATCAGTAGCTTTGCTGCTTTAGTAGTTTAGCACGACATTATTGTGAATAAATTTTTTATTCGCTGTAGTATGAACTCCTTTAAGTTATGCTCATGCAGTGTATGTCTCATGTCTTATTTATTTACGTATTTGTTTGTTTATATTTACATGTAGTTTGTTGTAGTATCTTTTCATTGTTTCATTTCCTGTTTTTTTTTTCTCTTTAATATTGCATTCGACCCCTTTTTTCTCCGTTGATGTATCGTCTATCATGGATATATAATCAAGTAAGTTAAAAGGTGCATTCACGCAACAAATGTATTTCAATACTTTAGGTTGGTTCTATTCAAGAAAATACTACTTATTTTGTAATTTAAAATATGTATATATATTTGTTATAAAGTGTGTGCATGTGTGCATATATGTGCATGTAGATTACATGCAGGTATATTATACAACATGCGACAAATGCTACAGTGTAAGAATTATATGGTATTATACATATAAAGATCCTACTATTGAAACTTTGGATAAAAGCTATGGTGACGGTGCTGAATCTTATCTTCATAATATTACTAATGGTTTTTTGGTCTCTATGGTACATGTTACATCTAATATCATAATCTGATCTCCTTTTTTCAAACTGGTTGTCTAGAAAAGTAATTTTTTCAACCTTATATTCTTACTAGTGGTACAATTTAAAAAATATTTATTATTAAAACATATAATATTGTGTTTAGATATCAATGCAATGATTATGTATTTTAAAATCTTACTTTTCTAGTGACTAGAACATTTACAGCTCTTCAAATATTCATATGTTGTTACTAATGTGAATGTCTATTCTCAGATTACATAACAAACACAGATATGTTTGATCTTGAAAATGATCTACCTGACGATCTGTTGTCATCTGGTTCCTGGGGGTCTGCGACTGAGAGTGCTAAACCACCAGCTACAGGACCAGGACCAGGGCAGCAAAATGGTGCCCTTGATTCAGAGCTTCGACAGCATGTACAACAACAACAACTTTCGCATCATTTAATACAACAACAAGTTTGTATCTGATATACAATTGACATAAAGTTTTATTTCATGTAATATGACCATAATGATTTTTTTTAACAGGGCAACAAGATGGTTGCTAATTCTTTAGTAATGGCTGCTGGAACTTTGGGTAACAAAAGTCCAAACATGCAATCTCCACCAAATGTTTCTGTCTCTAAAGTAGTTGATCCACAAATGGTTGTGAGTCTGGGAAATTTACCAAGTAGCATAGCCAGTTCTTTGGCAAACAATCAAATGTCTATTGCAAATTCTATGGGAGGTCTTCAATCATCAATGAGCATGGCTGCAAGTAGCAATCCAGCCATGTCAATGCCTGGAATGAATTCTGGCCTAGTTATGACCAGCAGTGCTAGTGGGAATAACAATATGGGTGGAATGGCAGGTGGAAGTTTAATTGTAACCAACAGTTTGAACAAACAACCTTTGAATGCTGTAAGTTAAATTCAGAGTTAGTTGCCGTGTCACGGAGTTTTACAAAATGTACAACTTGGTACTTCTTTCTTCAGGGTACTATGATGGGCCCAAATACTCAAGGAATTCATCATCCTAGTGGACCACATGGTGTTGGTCAAATGCAAAATGGTCCTGGAATAATGAACACCAGAGCTGTTGCAATGCAACAACAACAGCAAGCTCATATGGTTTCCGCGACTAGAGGACAGAGTCCGCATCAACAAGTGCATCAAGTCGGTATTGTTGGTACTGGTCAAGGTGGACCTCGAATGCAAGCTCCACCGAATATGGCAAATATGCCAAACATGGGACAAATTAGTGGATCAAGTCCTTACGGTTACGGTAATTATTTCAAATGTATACGGTTGTTAAATACATTGATATCCGAAATGACAGAACATTAAAATATAAAATTGTTCAACAGCACCTCCGAGCAGTGGGCCAGGACCTGTTACAGTATGTACGAATAGTCCTGTTGGAGTTGTTACGCCTCTACAGAAAGGGGTAGGAACGAATATGACTGCCATGCAAGCTGCAAACAGATTTGGAGGAACTACAGGTCCTATTGGTTCTGCTACCGTTGTGGGCGGCCAAGAAGGTACTATGACACAACAGACTCAACCACCTGCTCCAAGCCCAGCTCAAACACAAGCGGGTGCGCCAACCGGGATACAACTTGGTTCGCAACAACCGTCTCAGGGCCAAATATCTGGTATCGGTGCTCCAACTGGTAAGTATTTAGTTTCGATAGTCAGGCTGTGGTTGAAGGGTGAATTGATTAAATGGGCAATGTTTTGTATCGTCAGGTGCTACGAAGTCGACCGCCGATCCAGAAAAGCGAAAACTTATACAGCAGCAACTGGTTCTTCTGCTTCACGCGCATAAATGTCAACGACGCGAGAATCAAGCGAACAATGGCGATGTTCGTCACTGTACATTACCAGATTGCAAAACAATGAAAAATGTTCTGAACCACATGACTGCCTGTCAAGCAGGGAAGACTTGTACAGTGCCGCACTGTAGCTCCTCTAGGCAGATCATTAGTCATTGGAAACATTGTAATCGCAACGACTGTCCTGTGTGCTTACCGTTGAAGCAGGCGAACAAGAACAAAACAACAAACGCCGCTGCCGCGTCCACATCACAACCAAATAGCCAACCAAATCCGAGTCCGACCGAGGTGAAAAGAGCATACGATGCTTTGGGTATACAGTGTCCGACCACGACACCCGCTTTGGTGCCTGGTCAGTGCGTCACAAGGAGAATACCGGCGCAAGGAATGCAAGGAGCGACCGGTACGATGGGAAATGTTAGACTTGTACAACCTCCATCTCAAACTGCTCCGGGTCAATCTGTGGTCGGCGCTGGACAGCAAGTGGTTGCACCAAATGTGTCCCTTCCTTTGAACTCCGACCCTAATACAGTGGGAGTCGCCGGTAATCAGGCTACGTCGACCAGCGGAGCTACACCTATTGCTGCAGCGGCTCCCGCAAATATACCGCAATCCGTGAATGTGCATCAGCTCTTCGGTTTGAACGATTCAGGACAGCTGAGCGTCGCAGCTGAAAATAGACTAGCTAGTCCCCAGCTTCCGGTTGGAGCCCAGCAGAGTCAAGTGACAGCGACACCGATGCAGGAGACGAAGGATTGGCATTTAACCGTGACTCCGGACCTTCGAAATCATCTTGTTCATAAATTGGTACAAGCCATATTTCCAACCCCGGATCCGAACGCCATGCTCGACAAGAGAATGCACAATCTGGTATCGTACGCGAGAAAAGTAGAAGGCGATATGTATGAAATGGCCAATTCCCGGTCAGAGTATTACCATTTGCTTGCCGAGAAGATCTATAAGATACAAAAAGAATTGGAAGAGAAACGACAGAAGCGGAAAGAGCAACAGCAGCAACAACAGTTGCAGGCCCAACAGCAACAACAGCAGCAGCAACAGCCTCAACCGGGATCCGCCGGAGCGGCTGGCCCAGGTTTGAGGCCGTCGTGTGCTCCGCCTGTTGTCGGGACTGTTCCGCAGTCGCGACCGGTAGGAACTGTCACACCTAACTTACGTAGTCAATCACCTAGCATGGCTCAACTCGGAACTTTACCTGCGATAAATATTCCGCATACCAGAATGCCGTTTCCACAACAGCAACAGGTACAACAACAGCAAGCACAACAACAGCAGCAACAACAGGTACAAGTTCAAGCCCAAACCAATGTCCAGGCTCAGGCTCAAGCACAAGCTCAGGCACAAGCTCAGGCTCAGGTTCAAGCTCAGGTGCAACAGCAAATGCAACAACAGCAGCAACAACAACAACAACAACAGCAGCAGCAGCAGCAGCAACAACAACAACAACAACAGCTGCAGCAACACCAACAGATGCAACAGTCCCAGCAGCACCAGATGTCCCACCAGGAGCAACAGCATCACAGTCTCCATCATCAGATGCAGTCGCAGCATGTGAACAGCAACAGCGGCGCGAACGGCGAGTACCATCACGGGGAGGACAGGGTGCGGGACGAGAACGCGGAGAAGCTTCAGGAAAAGCAGAACGATCAGTATCTGAGCCAATCTGGCATGATCTCCATGTCGCAGTCGAACGAATCTCTGACCGGTAATTTTTTATTGCATAGCCACCACCCTCGGGTCGATAGTTTGCCCGACGGTGGTGGCTTATGGGAGTGGTCAGGAGGAGGCGGCGCGTTGACGAGCAGCGGCGCGCTGCCGGAGAACGGGATCCCGTCGATCGAGAGCTTCATGAAGTTCGGCGAGGCGAAGACCAGCCTCGAGAAGCCGTGCGAGAAACCGTGCGAGCGCGTCGGCGAGCCGGAGAGCAGGGAGGAGGAGCTCTGGAAAGAGGGCGACAAGAACGATGACAATCAGACCGATGACAAGTCCTTCCAAAGGGGCTTGTCCGCGGAGCGGGGTAACGGGTTCGAGGAACGCCCGACGAAGAAGCTGGAGGAGAAGAGCGAGGCCGGCGAGGCTCTCGAGTTCCAGGGCGTGACGTTGGAGGAGGACCGAGCCGAGAGTGTGCCGGAGAAGGAGGCGTCGACGACGGACGCGAATTGCGACAGCTCTCAGATCATCAAGCAGGAGAACCTTGGGGACTACGCGTGCTCGGGCTCGGAGTGCGCCCCGTCGCCCACCGCCTCGTCGAAGAGCGACGGCTATCAGGCCAGGGAGATCAAGACCGAGCCGGACCAAAGGTCGCAGGACGCCAGCGAGTCGTATAAGTTCCGTGGGGACGGCGGGCCGGCGAAAGTGTCGCCGGGCGTCGGTTCCTGGTGCTGCCGCCGCGGCGGCACCGAGCAACCGACACCCGAGCACCTGCGCGAGGGCTGCTGCCAGGGTCTGCAGACTCGGGACGAGATCCTGGCCGATTCACCCGAGAAGCCCGATAAGACGGACGCCGGCGGGCCGCAGAGCCCGCGCGCGGTCCCGGCCACCACGAAACTCCAAGATCACTTGGACAAACTGAAGAACAATGTGAGGACCGAAGTGCCGGACTGCAACTGCTTCCCAGCCGACAAATGTGAGTTGCTATTGCGTATTCAGCACGACACTAACATTGAGAGAACACACTAACCACGACAAACCATGCTCGCTTATCACACCGAGAACCATGCCTATGTAAACCGGGTNACAGCAACAACAGCAGCAGCAACAGCCTCAACCGGGATCCGCCGGAGCGGCTGGCCCAGGTTTGAGGCCGTCGTGTGCTCCGCCTGTTGTCGGGACTGTTCCGCAGTCGCGACCGGTAGGAACTGTCACACCTAACTTACGTAGTCAATCACCTAGCATGGCTCAACTCGGAACTTTACCTGCGATAAATATTCCGCATACCAGAATGCCGTTTCCACAACAGCAACAGGTACAACAACAGCAAGCACAACAACAGCAGCAACAACAGGTACAAGTTCAAGCCCAAACCAATGTCCAGGCTCAGGCTCAAGCACAAGCTCAGGCACAAGCTCAGGCTCAGGTTCAAGCTCAGGTGCAACAGCAAATGCAACAACAGCAGCAACAACAACAACAACAACAGCAGCAGCAGCAGCAGCAACAACAACAGCAGCAACAGCAGCAGCAACAGCAGGGAATTTTGGTTGGTCCGCCAGGCCCTAGTCCAAACGGACAATCAACCTCGAATCCCAACGTCGTTCCAAATCCTGGTCTGAGTCCTTTCGGGCAACCGCAATTGTCACAAGCGAATCTGACAACAACTACCACATCCGCAACAACTAGTCAATTTCCAACCTCGAACGGTACTTCCGGTTTACCTAACAGTTCTCCTGTACAGAATCAACACCAGTTCCCTGACATTATGAAGGTTCGGCTGACCCAAGCTCAGGTGATCGCTCACCAGCACCAACAACAACAACAGCAGCAACAGTTGCAGCAATCTCAGCAGCCGGCTCAACCGCAACCGCAGCAACAGCAGAGTCAATCACAACCACAGCAACCGACTAGCACTTCGAATCAGAGCGGTGCGTCGACGCTGATGCCGCAAGCACCGTCGCCGTTCAGCGTGACTATGCAGCCGCAAAGTAATCAACAGCAAACACAGCAACAGTTCAGCAATAGTCGACCTTTATCGGTGTCGACGCCCAGCGACAGCGGTATCAGCACATCAACACCTCAAACAATACCACCTCCCGTGTCCAGCGGGCCTAGTCCCGGTCCGGCGACGACATCGAACGGACCTCAGTCTACAACTTCCACACCCAACACACCGTTAGTTCCTTCGTTGATGACTCCGAACCAGACAGTCTCTTCCGCCAACCAAACACCACCACATCCAGGTACCACGCCGTCACCGGCTGGTCTCGCTAGCCTCGGAAAAGGCATGACATCACAGGAACGTGCTGCTTTGAACGCGCCGAGGGCTTCGTCCCGATCCTCTCAGATGGCCGCCATCGCGTCTGCCTTAGACCGTGATAATTCTCCTAGTCCACCGATGAATAACAATAAGGGTAAACTAGACTCCATCAAGGAGGAGAACATGAAGATGGAGATCGAACAAGATGACGGTTCCGATGGCCATCGAATGGACGGCGGAAAAAGCGTGAATAACGAAGTGCCGATCAAGTCCGAAATCAAAACAGAACCGATGGAGGAAGGACCTGGTGAAGGTATTGTTAAAGAGGAGGCTTCCGGAATCAAGGAAGAACCAATGACGCCAATGTCTGGTCAGGATGCAACCGCACCTGATATCAAACCAATGGTTCCCGAACCGATACAACCGAGCGGTACCTCCGCGGATAAGAAACGGTTGTGCTTGTTCAAGCCAGACGAGCTGCGTCAAGCACTGATGCCTACCTTGGAAAAGCTCTACCGTCAAGATCCAGAATCTATACCATTCAGGCAACCGGTGGATCCACAAGCACTAGGAATCCCGGATTATTTCGACATCGTTAAGAAACCGATGGATCTGTCCACGATCAAGAGGAAACTCGACACGGGTCAGTATAGCGACCCGTGGGAGTACGTTGACGACGTGTGGATGATGTTCGACAACGCGTGGCTATATAATCGTAAGACGTCGCGAGTGTACAGATATTGTACTAAGGTACGGCTGGAACAATCTTTCAAACACTGTGGATCTTCACGAGATTCTAGCATAGTTTCTCAGCCTGGGTGTGGAAGACATTGGAGGCGTTAAAATTTCTTTGTTTTCGTAGGGGGATGTGGTGGTTCTCAACCTAACATGGTTGAGAAACTATGACTACGAAATTCACATGAACATTCACAGTCTACCCATAACTATGCTGAAAGTTAAGGACACGATCTTGAATATTCATATGTTGTTTTCAGTTATCAGAAGTTTTCGAGCAGGAGATAGATCCTGTGATGCAAGCCCTGGGCTATTGTTGCGGAAGGAAGTACACGTTCAATCCGCAGGTTTTATGTTGTTATGGGAAACAACTTTGTACGATACCCAGGGACGCGAAGTACTACTCCTATCAGAATAGGTCAGTATACGGAAGAGTCTTCTTACAGGGAACATTACTATCTGCAATGTTCGAGTTTATTTGATGATACTTGACAAGAAATAGTCTGCATGATGGGAATACGCTGAGTAGGTTTTTTTTTTTTAAATCTCCGTCTTGCCCCTTTCCCCAACAACTTTTCTACTTAGAAAAGAATATAACAATCGGCGGATGTTAATGAAATGTTGGGAGGAAGTAGTTTTTTCGTGGAATATCAAATAGAAATTCTTTTTTATCCACCATTGTTCTTATTGAAAGGTTGAGAAACATATTTGTTTATGGAATCTTCGATGCGAACGTTGGTCGATAGAACAATTAAATAGAGTTCAGTTCGGAAGTTTAAATTGTACAGTAAATACGCATTCGTCTCAGAACATTTTTGTCAAGAAAAAATGTTCTGCAACCGAATGCGCCAAATTAACTTGGCAGACTAATTAACCTGTTTCGGTCGTACCAGTCGATGCAGGTCAGTCTCCTGACCTACATGTTTCTTTTACTTCCGTTTCACCCTTTATTTTATACTCCCTCTGTCCCATACTATGGTACATATTAAACTATGGCGCGTGTCGTGAAAGTGCAACAAAGAAGCTCTTAGTGCAGCATACAATATTTTGAATAACGTCACATTAAATCAAGTTTAACATTATCAATTTTATGAAAGTAAAAGTGATATGTATATCATAGTGTGGGACATGGAGAGCAGTTTTAATACTACGGTTACAATACTCGCACATATAAAAAGTTCACATTTTTATTATGCATATACTTAAGGGATATATAGATCATAGTTAGTGTTCAAAAGAGCTGGACGGTTTCTTAGATGATTAGTATAGTTCGCTTAACTTGACAAATTGTGAAAGAGAGAATGTTCGTAACCCTTGGGTATATGCAGTTTAGTAATTTATGTATATAATATATTATACATATGTACGTATATATCGTGTCTAACGATGGCACTCTTCTCTTCTTTGTATGTTACCTTCGCTCTACCCATGGGTTGCGCACGCACACACAAAATCCTTGTTTGCTGCTTGCTTCTTGTGTTGCCCGTGCCCCTTGCTTCTTTCCAACTCTACTACTTCGTACCACGAAAATTGCTCCTTGGAAAAATATGGGACGATCGAAATTGGATACCTGATGTCGGGGCTTGAAAACGATTTAAAAAATCAAAAACAAAACAAAAATTGTATATCTGCGATAAACGAAAACAATTATGAAAACAAAAAAAAACATGATGACTCTCGACAACTTTTGGAACCGAAATTGTTAAATGAAACGGACTCGATCACACACGTATATATATATATAACTATATAAATGTATATGTACATGTACAATTGGCAAAAAAATACATTACTATTTGCATGTGTATAATCGGACAAAAAAATAAACGCTTATCAAAATTGGATTCTCGACATATATTTGGATACATGAATTGGGGCGTGAAAAATATATACGTATATTGATCTTCGTACGATGCACGCATGACATTCGGCGAATTGACAATTTGGATCTAAACACTATTGGAATACAATAGTCTAAAGGCATATGGTCTTGTTTCCGACAGATACACCTTCTGTCAGAAATGTTTCAACGACATTCCTGGTGACACTGTGACGTTGGGAGATGATCCAACGCAACCTCAGACGTAAGTATTCAATCTATAAAAACACTGTGTACGATGCAATGATTTGCAGGGTAGCTAACAATCACTTTTCGTTCCAGTGCTATTAAAAAGGAACAGTTCCAGGAAATGAAGAACGATCACTTGGAATTGGAACCTTTTGTCGTGTGTACAGACTGCGGTAGAAAAGTGCATCAGATCTGCGTGCTTCATATGGAGTCCATTTGGCCTCTAGGGTAATAAAAATTTCTTTATACGACACAGTAATCTGAAAAGTTTTCAAGAAAGAACAGACGATCTCTTTTCGAACCTTTGGGTAGACAGTCAAACATGTATAAATGATTATAAAACTATAGCCTTCCAAAATCCTTGTCTTCAAAGGACTTGGACATAGCTATCCAAGGGTTGATGTTGAAACACTATCCATATCACTGTGCGATATAATAGATTCTCTGTTACATCGTACAAGTTTCTCTAATGTAACACATTGTTGATACAGGTTCACTTGTGATAATTGTTTGAAGAAGAAAGGACAAAAGCGTAAAGAGAATAAGTTCAACGCGAAACGCTTGCCAGTGACGAAGTTAGGAACTTACATAGAAACGCGAGTGAATAACTTTTTGAAGAAAAAGGAAGCCGGCGCTGGTGAGGTCGCGATTAGGGTTGTGGCGTCCAGCGACAAGGTGGTGGAGGTCAAACCTGGCATGAGGAGCAGATTCGTGGAGAACGGTGACATGCCCGGCGAATTTCCGTACAGGGCAAAAGCCTTGTTTGCATTTGAGGAGGTCGACGGCACGGACGTTTGCTTTTTCGGCATGCATGTTCAGGAATATGGCAGCGAGTGCACGCCACCTAATACCAGAAGAGTCTATATTGCTTACTTGGATTCTGTACACTTTTTCCGGCCTAGACAGTTTCGCACAGCGGTCTACCACGAGATACTTCTTGGGTATTTGGACTACGCAAAACAGCTTGGGTACGTGTAAACTTATGAGACTTCAGTAGTGTCTCATTTCAAGATAAGGAATAATGGAATATCATTACAATTTCTAGTTCCTTCTCTTTTAATGATATAAACTGTGAATGCCCGAAAACTCATAGTGTAATTACGATCACAATTTTCAAGAATTTTTTTGTTGAACAGATACACCATGGCTCACATTTGGGCTTGTCCGCCTTCCGAAGGAGATGATTACATCTTTCACTGCCATCCGCAAGAGCAAAAGATTCCAAAGCCTAAAAGATTGCAGGAATGGTACAAGAAAATGTTGGACAAAGGCATGGTCGAGAGGATTGTACTGGATTACAAAGTTAGTATTAGTTTTTTGATGACCATATTTCAATTTGTACGAATTTAGAGAACATAAATTCTTGAAGGCTTGGTTAGCCTTATGGGAAAACCGAGGGAGTGACAAGCAGAGGGCCCGGGTTCGATCCCGGTCCACGAGCTCGATCGACTCTCTCCGTTTTTCTTTGACAATATTGTCATATTTCAGTCTCCAAGTGTTATCTGAAAGTTTACCCTTTACTTCTCAGACGTCAAATGAGACTTACAGTAAAAACGTGTCTGCAGTGCAAGCTATTGTTCCCATTGAATACGTAAAATGTGAACAAAGGAAAAGCAGACGACAAATGAAAATGCAAATTTTTTGTTTACAATTTGCAAGCATAATTCAAATTGAAAATTTCATTTCATATTATTTCTTGATTACAGGACATTTTAAAACAAGCGATGGAAGACAAACTTTCATCCGCCGCCGATTTACCGTATTTCGAGGGTGATTTCTGGCCAAATGTCTTGGAAGAAAGTATCAAGGAGTTGGATCAAGAGGAAGAAGAGAAACGCAAACAGGCAGAAGCTGCGGAAGCTGCTGCTGCTAATGCGGTTGGTATACTAGTTAATTAAACTAATGTTTCTTTTTTCAATAACAAGATAGTGATTATAAAACAACAACATTGTTGCAGATTTTCTCAATGTCGGAAGATTCTGAGACAGGTCCCGATGGCAAGAAAAAGGGACAAAAGAAAGCCAAAAAGTCGAATAAATCCAAAGCGAATCAAAGAAAAAATAGTAAAAAGTCTAATACTCCGCAAACAGGGAATGATCTCTCGGCAAAAATATTTGCGACCATGGAGAAGCATAAAGAAGTATTCTTTGTTATCAGGTTGCATAGCGCTCAAAGTGCAGCCAGTTTAGCAGTAAGTGTTTTTGGAATTAGTTTTCTAACGTACTTAACGTCGCTATACGTATCTGTATGTTAACAATACCCAATTGCAGCCGATTCAAGATCCTGACCCCGTTATCAACTGTGACCTTATGGATGGTCGCGACGCTTTCCTCACGATGGCTAGAGAAAGACATTACGAGTTCTCTTCTTTGAGGCGTGCGAAGTTTAGTTCTATGTCCATGTTGTACGAACTGCACAACCAGGGCCAAGATAAATTTGTTTATACTTGTAATAATTGTAAGAGTCATGTAGAAACAAGGTACCACTGTACGGTTTGTGATGTAAGTATCAAAAGTAACTTTTTATTTCTATTTCAATTCTGCTGGCTTTTCCGTTGTATTAAATAATATTATTTCGTATAAACAGGATTTTGACCTATGTATAAGTTGTAAAGAAAAGGATGGTCATCCTCATCATATGGAGAAACTTGGTTTAGATTTGGATGATGGTTCATCGCCGGCCGATGCCAAGCAAGCAAATCCTCAGGTAAAATATTTTTCTATTCAGTTCGAATATTACGGAGCTTATGCGTTTGACAAAGGACTCGTTCACTAATTATTTTTATTGATCGTTGAACAGGAGGCGCGCAAACTGTCGATACAAAGATGTATTCAATCACTGGTGCATGCGTGTCAGTGCAGAGACGCCAACTGTCGACTACCCAGTTGTCAGAAGATGAAGAGAGTAGTGACGCATACGAAGATTTGCAAGCGAAAGACGAACGGTGGTTGTCCAATATGTAAACAATTGATCGCGTTATGCTGCTACCACGCTAAACACTGCCAGGAGACTAAATGTCTCGTCCCATTCTGTTCGAATATCAAACACAAGCTGAAGCAACAACAGCTTCAGCAAAGGTTACAGCAAGCGCAATTGTTAAGGTACGTAGAAGGGAGTAATTGGAGATGTCTAAAATTTCTAGGCTACATTTACGACAAAATGCATTCTCGTACATTGCAGAAGGAGAATGGCTGTGATGAATACAAGACCGACAGGTCCAGTCGGTGCAATGCAAAGTGGTCAACAGACATCCAATGTTACTATGCCAACTGGCGTTGCTATGAAACCAGGAGTCAGTCCTACGAATTTACCCTCGCCGCATCAAGCCGGAATAGGATTGAAGCCTGGAACACAAACTCCACCCGCACACGTCCTCCAGGTTGTTAAACAGGTGCAAGAAGAAGCTGCTAGGCAACAGGCACCGCATGTTAATTATGGAAAGGTGACACCTGGTGGTGGAGTTGGCGTCGGAGTCGGCGTAGGAGGACAAACGGGCGGGGTGATGCCTCCACCACAAATGCAACGACCAATGCCCGTCCAAATGCCAAATCCCGGCGGTACTCATCTTATTCCAATGGATCAGTGGACACCAAGGTATTGTTCTCGTCGAGAGAACGACAAATAAATTATCTGACCAACCACCGTAATTGTACACGATACAAACCAATTTTAATGCGTAGTAGGTATCAGCCGAATGCAGTAATGCAACAAAGTCCAGGTTTGAGGCAGCAAACACCGCAGCAGTTGATGCAGCAGCAACAGCAACACCAAGGACAACCGGTGATAGGAATGGGAGGACAGATGCCTAGACAGCCTGGCATAATCGGTGCTCCCGTCAGTCAAGTGGGCTCGCAGGCCCAGAACACCGCGATGCACAAGCAAGTGTTGCAACAGTTGATGCAAACGCTGAAGAATCCCCACACGCCCGAGCAACAAAACCAAATACTACAAATACTCAAAAGCAATCCACCGATAATGGCTGCGTTCATCAAGCAACGGGTAAGTCGACAGAATTTTCTTTCTTGGTTCCCCCTACCATAAGCTATTATTTCCGACGCCTCGGTTTTTGACGATTTCTATTACCATGTGATTTTTTTAATAAAAAGGCGCTTGCCCTTCAGCAACAAAGTGGTGGTCAATACGGTGGAGGAGTCGCCGGACCTCTGGGTCCTAATCAGCCGCAACAGCAACCAAGTTTGCAGCATATGATGTCCCAGCAGCAGCACCAGCAACAGCAACAACAGCAGCAGCAGCATCAACAGCAGCAGCAACAGCAGCAAGGTAGAATGCAGATACAAGCAATGTTGAACCAGCAGCAGCAGCAGCAGCAACAACAACAGCAGCAACCGGTTCAGCAGCAGCCGCAATGGTATAAACAGCAGATGCTTGTGATGCAGAGACAACAACAGGCTCAGCAGCAGCAGCAACAACAGCAGCAGCAGCAACAACAACAACAACAGCAACAGCAACCGTTCACGCAACCACCTGCACCTCCTTACGGTCAACAACGACCGATAAGGCCGTCCCTTCTCGGTAAGAGTCACTATTTGATTGCCGACAAAACGAGATTCGTCGAGCCGGTTGGTTCGTGGTCTAACGTCTGCCACGACTCCGCGTATTCTTCCTCAGGTTACGGTGGCTTTAGTGAACAAGGCTACGGTCAGCCGGGTTTAAAGCCGACGCCGCCACCGATACCCTCCCCGCAGGGCGTGATGGGGCCGCCGGGGATCTCTGTACAGCAACAGCTCATGCAGTCAGTTCGGTCTCCGCCGCCCATTCGATCTCCTCAACCGAATCCCTCGCCGCGAGCGGTTCCATCCCCGCGCAATCAACCAGTTCCTTCGCCTCGATCGGGGCCGGTGCCATCGCCACACCACCACCCACCCCACGGCACGCCGACCCACTCACCTGCCCATGAGCTCGGTGGGCCCAGCGAGATGATGCTCTCGCAGCTAAATGGCGGCACGGGGGCCCCGACCGGACATCCGGGCGCTATGCCGCATCACCCGTCGCCGGCGCCGCCGCCGACCAGCGGCGCGGACTCCAGTGAAGTGACGCCAATGACACCACAAGACCAACTCTCCAAGTTCGTCGAAGGATTGTAGTGACTGTTAGTGAAGTCGGTCGATGCTACGAGTGACTACATAAACAACGGATCGGGCGGTGATGATGCCGTCCACCGTTTCAAGGACGGTCGCTGTTGCAGCCTCCGTCGCCATGAGGCGGCGCCGGCCGTGCAACCCCCATCCGTTCTGCGTTCCTAGCTTCGCGGAGAGAGAGAGAGAGCGCGCGCGCGAGAGAGAGAGAGCGAGAGAAAGCGAGAGCGAGAGAGAAACAGAGCGAAAGCGAGATAGATAGATGACGATACGACGACGAGACAATGATAATGAAGATGATGCCGACGATGACGGTGACGATTGACAATGATCCGGCTACCGGATTATTCCGCGACGGTACCATCCACCTCCCCCCTCCCCCCGCTGTGGTGCGACCAAATTAATCCGAAACGACGCGTGTTCCCTCTTTTTATCTCCGACGTTAAGGTGCAGGAGCGACGATACAGCGTGATTTGATGGAAGTGGTGCTGTTTTAGGAGACGCGCCGCGATGATGCTACAGCTGGCTCAATGGACACTTTGAACTTCTTACGTTAAAACTCTGTACTGTTCGTACCTCGACCTCTCGGCCACCCCTCATCGCCATCTTAACACACACATACATGCATACGTACTCACGACGAGTCCCATTACTGCTATTCCGTAATCGAGATCCAGTGGCAAATTGATTCGAAACCAGAAGAGAGACTATCGATACGTTCTCCCTTAGATACAAACACATTGAAAAATTATCTTGAGTCCTGTTCCTGCATTCCCTACGAGTACATCTCTATATACACACACGCACTCACGCGCGTGCACACACACATACACACGTACACAAAGCGAGAGAGAGAGAGAAAGAGAGAGAGAGAGATACATCCAAACACACGACCTTTTTCATCTTTACCACCTTCCCTCCGCTGCTGCTCGTGCAGGCTGAGTGAAATCGTACAAATGTGTTGTGTATACTTAACGTTAATTAATAATTAATAGTTCAAATACTATTAGCGTAGCGATTATATGCAGTTATTATATACCACTATTATTATTATCGTGACGAGATGCAAAAGTATATATATAAACGAAAAAAGTGGAGAAGCCGAGGACTACTGTATGAAAGTGAGAATGAGTAAGCGTGAGCGAGTGTGCGTGAGAGCGAGCAATGAAAACGATATAATTGAAAGTGGGGCGAGAAATAACAAAAATGGTAAATAATCTGACACACACACACACAACGTTGTAATGTAAGGAAGGGAGAACAGAGAGATTTAGTGGGAGATGAAAAGAAGTTAAGTAATGTTTACTTAGGCTAATTTGTTAAGAGATCGCTACGGCTGGTCCCCGGAGGTGGTTAGCAGCCACGGACCGGCGTTAAATTTTATGGATACACATTCTGGCGAAGAGTACGGCGAACGGATGTTAAATAGTCTCCGATCCTCGGTTGATCGGCTAGACACGGGGATCGTTCGGAGAGTGTGTGAGAGAGAGAAAGAGAGAGAGAGGGGGACGAAAAATGTGAGAATGGAAACGATCTCTCCTCTCGACAAAGGACGGGGACGGGACGAGTGCGGATTAAAGGTGTCGCAACCAAAAATAAGTAGAAATTCATGACGAGCTACTGTTTCGCTGGCCACGGGAGGGATTTATATATTAAAAATGGAGAAAAGAATCGTGTTAATTTTTGCAAGAACGATGGAGAAAAGCAAACACAAAGAGTTCTGTCGCAACAAAAACCGATCGGGGTGGGCCCGACATGTACAGTTCAATCAAAATGTAGCTATGAAAGCGTAAACCTAAAACTCAGGGCCCCCCCCCAACCATGGAAAAGCGTTCTGTACATACTATACTATTATTACGATAATAATAACGATTATTATTAATTTCCCTGTCTCTTATAAATTTATTATTATTATTATAATATTATTATTATTATTATTGATTCTTATTAATTATCATTATTATTATCATTATCGCTATTATTAATATTATTGCAAAGAAATTCAAAACGTATAGGTATAGCGTAATGTTCGGGGAAAACAAAAGCGAGAAAGGGATCCACACACGTACACGTACATACATATGTTTACACACCTATTCACGAGAAACAAATACGTTACACACGATCGACACGGCGGAAAACGTATACACACCCGCGCGCGAAGAGACACACGTACAATAGCCGACGCTACGTGACTATGCCAGTTCTGTATCATAGTAAATTGTAAGTGTAACATTTCCTCACTCTTTTTCCTTCGATACCTATTAAGACGTCTAGACGATAAAGGGGAACACGGATCGGATGATGATGATGATCGACGCGTTGCGTGCGAGGTGTTTCGCGGGCTTCGAGGAGAGTCTCCGTTTCGTTCGTTTCAGTTTTCTTTTCTTTTACTTTTCTTTTTTTTTTTTTTTTTTTCGTTTTCCGTTTTTTGTTCTTCGTTTCTTTTTTGTTCGTTGTTTGTTTGTTCGTTGTTTGTTTGTTCGTTG